AAACACAGCTCCCCATTTAGAGCCAAACTAAGTCCAGCTGAGCTAGAACAAGCAAACATAGCCCCCACTAGAGTCAAACCGAGCCCAGTAAGGCTAAACAAAACAAACACAGCTCCCCATTTAGAGCCAAACTAAGTCCAGCAGAGCTAGAACAAGCAAACACAGCCCCCACTAGAGCCAAACCGAGCCCAGCAAGGCTAAACAAAACAAACACAACTCCCCATCTAGAGCCAAACCGAGCTCAACCAAGAACCAAAGCCAAAGCCTGCCCTCAATTAGAGCCAAACCGAGCTCAACAAGAAACAAAGCCAAAGCCAGCCCTCAACTAGAGCCAAACCGAGCTCAATCAAGAACCAAAGCCAAAGCCGAGCCCCCAACCATAGCCAAACCGAGCTCAACAAGAAACAAAGCCAAAGCCAGCCCTCAACTAGAGCCAAACCGAGCTCAGCAAGAACCAAAGCCAAAGCCGAACCAAACAAGAAACAAAGCCCAAGCCAACCCAACAAGAAACAAAGCCAAAGCCAATCCCCAACTAGAAATAAAGCCAAAGTCAGTCCCCAACTAGAAATAAAGCCAAAGCCAGCCTCCAACTAGAAATAAAGCCAAAGTCAGTCCCCAACTAGAAATAAAGCCAAAGCCAGCCTCAACAAGAACCAAAGCCAAACACAGCCCCCAACTAGAGCCAAACTGAGCTCAACAAGACCAAAGCCAAAGCCGACAATATTAAAATTCGGATTTTCATAAAAAAAAAAAATAAAGTTGTAGCCATTTTAAGCCAAAACCAAGACTCCAAACCCCAAAACTGAGCCAAGTGAGGGTCAGAAATCAAGCTGCAGCTAAGACCTCCAATATTAAGTCACAATGAAAGTTAGAGCAATGTCCTCATGCATTTAAATCCTCTCCAAATAGAATTACGAAGTGAATATCTTGAAATACATGAAAGTAAAGCATGCCGAATATCTCAAAATACAAGAAAACAAACTTTACTAGCATGCCGTATCATCCACTGAGCCGAGCAAGAGAGGCTCGACGGAGAAAAAAAAAACAGTGAGTAAGCAAGGCATTGAGGAAGGGAAGGGGAGAAGTAAATATATATCTCCTAGCCCCTTAAATGTCATTCCCATATAACAGATGTATAAATAAGGAGTAAGAATATATTTAGAAATGAGGCAAGCAATAATCTCCCTATTCTAGCATGCCTGCAAGAGGAGTAAAATTGTTCTAAAGCCGTGCTTTAAGTATCCAAATCGCTACCAACATAAATGTGATGCGATAAACAGAAATCGTGTCATATCTCCACCGCTTTAAGCAAATATCCAAATATAAATCCTAAAACATGCTCACACTTCCATTTTTAAATGGACCTGAAGTGAATGTCAGAGTAGTATGAACTAGCATGCTGTGTCATCCTACATAACCAAGTTCAAAGGCTCGGCAGACAGGAAAAACCGAAAGGAAACAGGGCACCGAAGAAGAGGAGGGGAAAAAGGGGTACCTCTTTAATGCCAAAGTAAAGCACTGCAACATAAGAATTCACCTCAAAGAAGTGCTCTCACAACAATTCCCTTTCCAATTCCCTCACAGCCAAAATTTCCACTCTCCTCTTCTCTTGCAATTCTTTTTTTTTTCAACAACCTCAAAATCAAAAGAAACTATCCTTATGTGCAGAGAAGAGAGGAGAAGAGAAAAGAGATCACACCCAACAGTCCACGACACTCGAATCGGGCCAAAGGAGAAAATAGACGTGCTCCCTGCTCACAGAAGGCGAAGTCACCGAAGCATCTCAGACCGAGCGGCAAGCCTAGTGACAGCGAGGGAAGCATCGGGAAAAGGAGAAGAAATGCCATTCCAGTGTACCAGGGAACAAGCTTCCAGAGTCAAACTACCAAGAAAAGGAAAACCACAGCTCAAGGAGACTGGCACGACTTCGGGAAGGAAGGCCACGGGCAGAGAGTGTCGGGCAAGGACGCATGCGAAGTCAACTTTCTCTCGCCTGGATGAGGAAGAGCTCGATTGGCTTGAGACCGAGAAAGGAAAAGAGCCAGACATGCGAACGGGAGAGGGAAAGGGGGTAGAGAGCTAGGGATTTTGTGTTAAAAGAGGAAAGGGGAGGGGTAAAAAAAAGTTTAATATATATATACACATATATATATATAAATATATATATGTATATATACACATATATATATGTGTGTATATATATATATACACACATATATATATGTGTGTATATATATATATATATTTATATATATATATGTGTATATATATATTAAACTTTTTTTTACCCCATATATATATATATTAAATTATATGCGATTCACTCGCGCGTGGCGACGTAACAAAATGGGTGTCCCCCTTGGGCATAATCGACGTTCCGGACGCACCAGTGCAGTCCGTTTCGTCATCCAGGGTCGCTCGGACGACGTCGTCAACAATCGGGTCAAAAACTCCTCGAAATTCGTCGAAATTCAAATTTTCAAAATTCAAATTTCACAAAATTTCGATCCGCGATCGATCGCCTCAAAAGGTTTATTCGAGCATTCGACAGGTAACAGTGCAAGCGATGCTCATCCTCATTATCCCCGTCCTCTTCTTGTACTGGCTCCTTTCTTTTTTTTGTCTGCGCGGGTGTGCGAATTGTGCAGAAGGCCACCCTAAGGCTCAGAAAGGTCCTATAGGAATCTCTTTTGGGTTTGCTTATGTTGGTTTCACCCTTCTAGGTGCTAAAAGTCGATACCACACACGCGAAACTTCAAAAGGGGACGGAAGTAGGTCGAACTAAAATGAGGCGGGTCCCATTTCTAAGATTCTAAGATAGTCGCCGGGAGATCCCTAAGGCTAGATCCTAAACCCTAAGAGAAATACTAGACCTCATTAAAAATGAGGTCAACATAACTGTATACAAATAAATGTTCTGAGCAATGATAAACCCAAATATTAGTTAGATCAATTTTTTTTTCAATTCATATTTGATATAAATCTTCTGCTTTAAATCTCTGAGTTAATGCTACAATAAGTCTGTATTTAGGAGTGAATGATAAATAAAGCATATACCAAGGTACATCCTCTTGTAAATGGACTTAAAGTCGATCCCTGATGTAATCCAATAGAAATAAGAAAATATTTGGTCAGTCTTCCTTCAGTTCAAACACAAGTAACAACTCTAGTATACATGTCTTTAATGACTTGAATATAAGTCATATCAACACCTTTTTTCTCAAGAACTCTTCAAAGGATATCGAAGGATATCTCTTGGAACTTGGAACCTTATCGTAAGCTTTTTCTAAATCAATAAAAATCAAATATAGATCCTCTTTATTATCTCAGAACTTCTCCATCAATCCTCTCAATAAATGTATAGCTTCCATAGTAAACCTGCCCGACATAAATCCAAATTGATTATGAGAAATCTTAGTAATACATCTTAACCTATGTTCAATTAATCTCTCCCATTATCAAAATATTAAACAACTCAAAATTTAATCACAAACATCACAAATATTTGCACACTCTTGTGCATCTCCTTTATTCTTAAAAATGGGGACCAAAATACTCCTCCACTCCTCAGACATCTTTTTAGTTTTTAAAATAATATTAAAGGGTTTAGCAAGCCAAGAAACACTCAAATCTCTTAAATATTTCCACACTTCAATTGGGATATCATTAGGTCCTACAGACTTTCGATCATTGGTTTTCTTTAAAGTCTCATTAACTTCTTTTTTATTAATTTGACGATAAAAATGAAACGTTTTATTATTATTAATGATATTAAAATCACTAAGGTCGATCGTATTTTCAGAAACTTCATTAATAAGTTTATCAAAGTAGTTCACCCACTTATGTTGAATATCTTTTTTTAAGAAA